CAACAAAAAAAAAAAAAGATAGCCAGGCATTGTGACAGGCGCCTGTAGTCCCAGCTACTTGGGAGGCTGAAGCAAGAGCATTGCTTAAGCCTAAGAGTTTGAGGTGGCTGTGAGCTGTGATGCCACAGCACTCTACTAAGGATAATATAATGATACTTTGTTTAAAAAAAAGAAAAAAAAGAAATTACAAAATGTCTTGACTGCTTGAAAAATATACGTGTATTTTTCACTAAGAAAATTTACATAAAAAATATATTTCTAAATAAAAAAAAAAGAAAAAAACAAAAAATATATTTCTATGTTGTCCTTTCTTTTTTTTTTTTTGAGATAGAGATTCAAGCTGTCCCCCTGGGTAGAGTGCCGTGGCATCGTAGTTCACACCAACTCTTGGGCTCAAGTGATCCCCTCGCCTTAGTTTTTCTATTTTTAGTAGAGACAGGATCTCACTTTTTGCTCAAGCTGGTCTCAAACTCCTGAGCTCAAGCAATCCACCCAGCTTGGCCTCCCAGAGTGCTAGGATTACAGGCGTGAGTCACCACGCCTGGCTGTTTCTGATTTTTCTTAACTAAAAGAATAATAAAAACCAGGTTACCTTTCCTTAGTTTTTGTGTTTCTAAAACGGCTTTCCTCCAACTACTCTCAAAAATAAAACAATTTTCAAAGGCATTTCTGGTAATTTTAGAAGTGTCAAATTTGATTCCAGGATATAGCAATGACATTTTTTCTTCTTCTTTCAACAGTGCTGAAGAAATGGAGATGCCGCTGCAGACACAGGACATAAAACACAAAGAAAACAAGATATCCCGGAGGTTAATATTTTTTCTAATATGTTTATGAAACAAATGCAACGCTAGCATAGACTTAAATGAAAACCTTACTTGTACCATGTAAATACATACTCTTGGGCTTTTAAAGCAAACAGCCTTCAAGAATGAAACAAAAATTTGTAATCAGAACACTTTCGTATTTTATTCTATTTTTTGTAATTTCAGGTTAATGTGACAGTACAAACAACCAAATCACAATATTTGAATTTGCTAGGTAGAGTCTCCACTTTTATATTTTAAACTTTAAGCATGTTAATGAATTCTTTCAAATTCCAGGTCATAGATATTTGGCAACATTAAAAAAAAAAAAAAAAGTAAAGCCCAACAGCAAATTTTCATCTACAAGAAAATAGAATGCTTGGATTCCCTCAGAAAATTTACTATTATAAAATGCATTTTATGTGTCTAGAAAAAAAAGAGATAATTTCTATGCTCTGTGGAAAACAAACACGTCGTCAACGTACTGTTACTTTTAGTCTAAACATGAACCCAGAAGAATGCTCAATCATATATCCTGCTCCTTTGATGCATTAAACACATATTCATTCCTACCACGTATTTTAAGTGTCCATTATGTACAAGGCATTGCTAAACTCTGAAGAGAG